CTGCTTTGCAAAGCTTGAAGCCCTGAGTTCAAACTCCAATCCCACCAAAAAAAAACAAAAACAAAAAACAAGCAAAAAACTTATTTTATATTAAATTGGAAAAGATATGCTGTCTTGTTCGTTGTTGGTAGGAATGAAAAATGTTACAGATATTTTGGGAGACAGTTTGGCAGTATCTTATAAAACTAAACATACTCGTAGTACATGATCCAGCAGTCACACTCCTTGGTTTTACCCAAAGGAATTTAAAACTTATGTCTATACAGAAACCTGAAAGGGGGGTGGGTGGGAGGTGACTGGTGGATGGTTCAAGTGGTAGAGTGCTTGCCAAGCAAGTTTGAGGCCCTAAGTTCAAACCCCAGTACCACCCAAAAACAAACAAAAAACCTTGGATGTGAAAATGTATAACTTTATTCATAATTTCCAAAACTTGGAAGCAACTAAGATGTTTTTTAGTAATTGAATGGATAAATAAACATCCAGTCAATGGAACATTATTCAGCTCTAAAAACAAATGAGCTATCAAATCATGAAAAATCAGCAAGTAACAATAAGTATATATTATTACTAAGTAAAAGAAAGCCAGTCTGAAAAGACTACATATTGTGCAGTTCCAATTATATGACACCTTGGAAAAAGCGAAACTATGAAAGAAAAGATGAGCGATTGCTAGTGATGGTGGCAGAGGGAGTTATGAGTAGGCAGATGACTGAGGATTTTTAGGGCAGTGAAACTACTCTATGTGATAATAAAATAGTGAGTTCATGTATAGAATACAGCACCAAGTGAATCCTAATGTGACAGTGAACCCTAGTTGACAAGGTCTGTCAGTATATGTTCATCAGTTGTAACAAGTATTCAACCCTGGTGGGCATGTTGATAATACAGGAACTGCTCATGTATAGGAATGGGGATGTATGGGAAATCTTTATAATTTCCTCTCAGTTTTGCTGTAAACCTAAAACTGCTCTCAAAAAAAAAAAAAAAAAAAAAGTCTTAACTGGTGTGTTGCATGCCTGGAATCCCAGGAGACTAGGGCAGGAGGATCACAAGTCTGAGGTTGGTTTGGGGTTGCATAGCAAGACATTGTCTCAAAACCCTTTTTATTTCCAGAAATAATTTCAGTCCTTTATTATAGTTAATAAGATGCAAACAATTATAATTGTTTTGCTTTTGCTTATCCACCATGATATTTAGGAATTGAAGGTAGAATTCCAAGTACAAGAATGGTATTACAAATTTAAGTTTTGTAATATGGGATGCTAATTTTCTTTTTGCTTAATGAAAAACTTAGAGTAGTATGATATGAAATAAATTATGGTATTTAACATTAGCAAATGTGAGAATTTGATAGTGTCATGTATTAATGTAGGTATAGTTTAATGACCTAAAGACAGCCAACAAGTAGTTTTTCAAATCAATGTTTGTATTTTCCTTTACATTAAATCTCACAGTTTGATATGTGAATGCTTCCTTAATACAGAGTAGTATAACTTGGCTTCTTTTCCGTAAAGAACTGACGTCAGGGCTCTGATATAGCTCAGTAGTAAAGTATTTGCCTAGGATGTGCAAAACCCTGGGTTCAGCACCTGGTATTGCAAAAATAAAACCAGAAAACAAACAAAACAAAAAACCCCCAGCAAAACTGATGTAAATAAATTGTCCCTTTTGCATTGTGGGAAAATACTCAAAATGTGACTTCCCAAATTCCTTATTGAAAAAGTAAAACACTCTACTACAGAAATGGAAAGATTGTGAAGCCTTTAGACATTAGCTTTTAAATAATGTTTTAAAACTCAAGGCAAGGCAATTGGTATTTTTCTAATAAGGCAGTAATGGGGAACTTTCTGCAATAACCTTCAGTAACCTGTGGGTACTTATGCCATTCTCAATTAGTTGCTACCATAGTGATTTAAGAATAAATTTTGTTTATTCATGGAAGTTCATTAGCAGGTATTAGATGAGTGGTCTCAAATTTTTCCTTAAGGCAAGTTTTCTGTATTTCTGCCTTAGAAAAGAGTCAACTTTAAAAAGAATCAGTGTTAGTGAGGAGATAGATTAAAATTTATTTCATATTATCTTGTTGGTATAAGAGATTTCAGTCAATCCCCCCGTACCCTGTGCTACTGGGGTTTGAACTCAGGGTTTTGAGCCACTCCACCAGCTCTATTTTTTGTGATGGGTTTTTTCCAAGATGGGGTCTTGCACCTGTTTGCCTGGGCTGGCTTTGAATGGTGATCTTCCTGATCTCTGCCTTCTGAGTAGCTAGTATTACAGGAGTGAGCCATTGATACCCAGCAGGTTGCAATCAATTATGGCTCTTTCATTTCACTGTACAGTCTTTTTTTTCTGAGATGGGCTATGTTGTACTAATTGAATGATTTTCATGTAAATGAGTTTGGGAACAAAACACACAGAAACTTGGCTATGTTAGAAATACCACTGGTAAGCTGATAGTAATATAAAAAAAAGTGTGGGACAGTTGAGGTACTTTCTTCTTTGTGTTAATTTCAGTGGCAGACCCAGGTCACAGTTCCATCATCTGCATATCAAATATCTCCACTAAAGCTTAAAACAAGATCTATTTAGGGATATTTTTTCTTTTTCTCTGTGAAACTGCTAAAAGATTTAGTAGAGAGTAATTAGATGACTTTTAAAATTGTTCTAACCTTTATTTTATTTAATGACATTTAGTTGTTTGAAAGAATTGCCTCAATTACTGACTTGATATTGTGGAAAGCATTTAGATTAATTTTATTTGGTATAAAATGTAAATGACTTACTATTGTAGCCAAATCTCAACGATTTACTTGTATATCGAATAAAATATTGACTGCATTTGTTTCTTACCAGTTTAAGCAATCTGGCTACATATTTTGATGTCTAATCTCAGTGTAATTACAAAAATGTTTGTAAATGAAGAGTTTTCTTTTTGTTTAAATTTGGAATGCTTCACAAAGTCATGTGTCAGCTTGTGTGGGGGCATGCTAATACTCTGTCATGTCAATTTTAGTATATGTGCTGCCTAAACAAGCACTTTTTATTGTTCTTAAGAGCAAGTTTTAAACAGTAAAAGTTATTTGGTATCTATCCTTTAAAGTCTTTGACTTGAATTGTAAAATATTTTCTTCAGAAGGTTTTTATAACTGCTGTAAAGTTTGGTGATCTGGAGTGATTTTATATAGAGCACTGAAACTATCATATTTATTTACATGTTATACTAAGTAAATTCTTTCCTATAAAATTTATTGAACTTGTTCTTCCCAGAGCTAATAATAGGATCAACTGGAGTATCTGTATTAACTCTGAATTACTTGAATTACATCAGAAATACTGTTGTTTGATGGATAAATTCTGTACAGTAAATGCTAGACTATGCTTGAAGATTGGTTAGGACTATACTTGCCATTTAATCCTGAAGATTTCTTGCTAGATATATTTTCCAACTAGTAGTAGGTGAGAGATGCCATTCTATCTTGGGCTTGTCAATCCATGATAATTGTTTAAAAATTAAAAATTAGTTTTTAAATTATAAAAGTAATATGTTTATTATAGAAAATGAGAAAGCACAGGTAAGCAAAAAGAAGCTAGACATTTATAATCCTATCACCCATAGATAACTACCACTAATGCCTTGGTGTATAGTTCCAGAAAATTTTGTGTGTTCTTCTCTCTTTAGGTCTTTGCTTTTCTCTGGAATATTTTCCCCTAGGCCTTCCTATGCCTGTCACTTACTATTTAGGACTCATTCTAAATGTCACCTCTCAAAAAAGAGCTTCCCCAACATCTAGAGCAGCCTACTTACCACTTATCACCTGGTAGTCAGCACCATATCCCTAGTGTCCAGAAGTGCACTTGGCACATGGTGGGTACTTAAATGAATGAACGTTTAATATAAAAATGGAATGAGAATATATATCTGTTAAGTGCTCTGGAAAAAAAGGTAAGATATACACTCCTGACCTTAGATTGCTTACTTTCTAGGGCAGATAAAAAATTAAATATGAAATAGCGTGGAGTGGGACAAGTACTGTTACAGGAGGAGTACATGCTACATGCTTACTTAGATGTGGAAATTGTTATAGTAAGCTTCCTAAAAGAGTGACAGTGTAAAAATTTTGTAAGTTTGTAATTTGTGTGTTGGTTCTTTTCATCTATAATTTATAATTCATAAGAGTTGGGTAATGGAATATATAACTATCAGAATTTAGTCAGTTCCCTACTAGACATTTAGAGGATTCTGTTTTTGTTGTTTTAAATAATACTGTCACTGTATATCTTTGTAGATCCTCAGTTATTTTCTTAGGTAACTGACTTGGAAGTGGAATTTCTGGGTCTGAAGATTTATATATACTTTTCAGGGCTTTTGCTCCATATCACCAGATTGTCTGCCACAAATGTTCTATCAGTTAATACATCCAGCAACAATATCTGAGAATGAGCCCTCCAACTGCTCCTTCCCCATGATTCACTCCCCTACCCCCCAAAGCATGCCAAGTTGTTAGGTAAAAATGGTGTCTTAATTTAATGGCTTCATCTACCTTTGATTCACCTATGTGTACTATACTGACAGCAAATTATGAGATATGACAAGCTTCAATTTAGATGATTTTGTTAGGGTTACTGAACAAATATACAGTAATGATACATATGAAATTATTTGGTATTTCTTTTAGTTTTGACAGTTATATTATTGGCTTTTTTTTTCTTTTGTGGTGCTTGAGGATTGAGCCCAGGGCCTTGCATATGCTAAATAAGTGGTCTCTACCACTGAATTATATCCCCAAGCCCCTCATTATCTAGCTTTTAACATAATTTTCACCCCAGAATGTTATTGTAATTTAAGATCTTTTGTCTCATTTATTTCTAAAGATGTTTGTTGTAGTGGCAGATTCTTAGAAATTGAGAAGAGGCTATTTAATTTGAGATCAAGTACCTTAAGAAGCTTGTATGTTGACACCAGTCCTAGCAACTAACTTCTTTTTAATTATTGTGGCCAGAAACACCAGATGAAAATGGTAAAACCCAGAGAGCTGATGATTTTGTCTTGAAGAAAATAAAGAAGAAAAAGAAAAAGAAACACCGAGAAGATGTGCGAGGAAGACGTCTTAAAATGTACAATAAGGAAGTACAAACCGTCTGTGCTGGCCTGACCCGCATCAGTAAAGAAATTCTCACCCAAGGACAAATAAATAGCACTTCAGGAGTTAATAAAGAGTCCTTCAGGTATCTGAAAGATGAACAGCTGTGCCGGTTAAACTTGGGCATGCAAGAATATCGGGTACCCCAGGGAGTACAAACACCTTTTACAACTCACCAGGAACATTCTATCCGTAGGAATTTCTTAAAAACAGGTACTAAATTTAGCAACTTTATTCATGAGGAACACCAGTCCAATGGTGGTGCTCTTGTCCTTCATGCTTACATGGATGAACTCTCATTTTTGTCTCCAATGGAGATGGAGAGATTTTCCGAGGAGTTTCTTGCTTTGACATTCAGTGAAAATGAGAAAAATGCCGCTTACTATGCTTTAGCAATAGTGCATGGAGCGGCCGCGTATCTCCCAGACTTCTTGGATTACTTTGCTTTTAATTTTCCCAACACTCCGGTAAAAATGGAAATTTTGGGCAAGAAAGATATTGAAACAACAACCATTTCAAATTTTCACACTCAGGTAAGGTAAAATTATTGTTAACTTGTTTAGAAAATATAGTGTCTCACCAGTGTTTAACCTCAATCTATTGCAAAGCACACGCCTACACTCTGATAAAAATTCGTGGTGATAAAGGTACTTCACATTGTCTATTCCTGCAATTGTAAATCTTAATTGCTGAGATTTTTGGAGTGGGGCTTGATGAAGTATTTTATACATGTTATGCATCATTGCAAGTCCTTCTGGAAAACCAATCTGAAAACTAATGCAGTCTTTCACAGATCAGGTAATGGTGTGGAGGACATGATTTAGATCTGGTAGCCTTGAGGTAACTTAATAGTTAAGACATACTTTTATGTCATAATAACAAATGAGAGTGTTGGCCTGTTTATTTGCCAGGTTTTTGCTGGTTTTGTTTCTCCTCTTTCAGTAACTTGTTGGCAGTCTATCCCAGAATTATAGCCCATTCATTTATGTGACTTGGGAGTGTCACTAGGGAGACCGCCATAGCCTCTGCTCCTTTTTCGTGTGCACCGTTGTAGGTGAAGACATTTTCTGAAGCCTTGCTTGGGCAGCTAGGCTTAAGTCAGCAGGGAAACCTTGCCTTCCCAACCAGTTTTTAACCAAACATTTTTTTTCCAGTGAAGTTATTTTAGGGTATTAAAAAGAAGTTAATAATGTGTCCTAGTTTTTTCTTGCTTGCTTTTCTCATAAGGATTGTGGAGATTATGGTCAGCTGCAAGTTTTCACTATATATATTACAAATTCAAGTTTAGTGGGGACTTTCACTTTGTAGAGATTTGTGGTTATATACCCTGTTTTTTCAGGTCATCTGAATAATTTGCTGCCATTATTTTTCCCTTAAGATTTTTTTTTTAGGTACATGAACAGTTACATGATAAGACTCTCAGCTGCTTACATTATAGTGGTTTCAAGCCACTTAGATTTATCTGAACCCTCCTTTAACGTGAATCTTTTTATTGAGTCTTACCATCCATGCCTCCAGTGAGGGGAGTATCCAGTTTAGATTTATGAACTTCAGAATTTCTCTAATTGAAGTTCTCTCTGCAGTAGAGAGAGCAGGAGCAGCCAATGTGGAGAGGTCGCAAGATGGGGCTGCCCACGATGTTGGAACACGATGTGCAATAAAGGGCTTCGCCTTGGATTTTGGCCTTGTTACCACCATCAGGTACCGAAGTGCTGACTTTTGTAGTAGGTTTTCTTTTTCTTTTCTTTTTTTTTTAAAAGCAGTTTTGCCCTTTGAAGGTTAAGGGATCCTATTTTTATAAATATTGCAGAAGAGACTAAAAACAGTTCTGACCTAGTCCTTGGTCCCCGTAAGTCCCTAGTTAATAAGGAAAGATGTTGCTGAGAGCAGAGTTAACATGTCTACCACTTTTTTAGCGTAGAGAAATGCAGCAATTTTTCTCTTATCATTGATAGATCAGCAAGCAAGTCTGGGAAAAGTAAGCCAGAAGTTTGGGGAAGAAACATCCTGATTTTGTAAAGGTGACTTTTTAACTTTCGTATTGGTCTACAGTGGATCAAGTTTGTATTTTAACTGACAAGTTCCCAGACTAATTAGTCAATAAAAGAAGACATCTTGAAATATTATTCCCTGCTGATTTTTGTCCTCCAATTAATTTTTTTAAATGGAGCTGAAATTTAAATGACTGTACCAACAACTTACCTTGAGACTTACTCTGAGACTCACCTTGAGACTTACTTTGAGCTTTAGAAAATAATTACTTTTAAAGGAAATATCACATTATTGTTAGATATTAATTAGCCACATAAGAATTTTGAGGACTGTTGAATGGGTCTTGTGCTCTGGTGGTCCTGGAACTTAAATTTATTTATGAATTTTCAGCCATTGGAAGGAAATATTGGGTAGTTGAATTAGCTTATGACACCTTTAAATTTGCACCTGTAAAATCCTTGGTGGATGCTGGGATGGAAGCTCCTAGGGTAGTTCAGATTTGTTTGGTACTTCATTGTAGAAATGCCTTCACATTTGTATGAGTCTTTGAAACAACCAGGGCATGGGTAAGCACTTTTATCTGTTATCCGCTGAAGAAACTGAATCTTACGTTCATTGTTATATAGCTAGTAAGTAAAGAGTCAGATGGAGATTGTGGTTGTCTGAACAATTTTCATACCATTTTACCATATTTCCTTCTTACCTTGGCTGTTGGAGAAGAGATTAGTGTTTTTATTTGTCTAACATTGTGGTGTTGGTAAAATTGAAGTATCTTGTTTAAAACAAAATATGAAAAGCTTTGTTATTAATATTTTTAACAAATAATTTTAGATGTTGGGAATTAAGTGAATGCCTAGTATATTTTGGAGTTTTATGTTTTATAAATCCTTATGAAATTCTGTTAACCTATAAAGTCAAGGCCTGGGTGTGGTGGCATATGCCTGAAATCCCAGCTACTTAGGAGGCAGAAGTAGGAGGATTAAATCTGAACCTTCCGCACCCCCCCCAACTGCCCTGGGCAAAAGTGCTTGAGACCCTGTCTGAAAAAAAAAAAATTAAAGCAAAAAGGGATGGGGGTGTGACTCAAGTGGTAGAGCACTTATCTAGTGAGCATGAGGTCCTGAGTTCAATTCCCAATTCTGTTTCTACCCAAATAATAAATGCATTTTTTTTCTTTTTTTTTTTGTGGTGCTGAGGATCAAACTCAGGGCCTCAAGTAAGCTAGGCAAGCACTTTACCACTGAGCTATATCCCCCAGCTCATTTTTTTTTTAACCTTAGAGACAGTTAATACAAGTTACTGTTTTAAATATATGGTCATACTAATTATCTGTGACTGTATTTCAAGATAATTTATTCAGCATCTTAATTGAGAATCTAACATGTCCTGGGTACTCAGTTCCTAGAAGGACTAATTGATGAGTTCAGCCCACTGAGAGAGATGATTAAACCAGCAATTATAAGACAGTTTAAGTAACAAAGGTGTGCATAGGAAAAGCCTATTATGGAGGGAGCACAGTTTGTGGTCTTACTAACTCAGACTTGTGATTAGAAAAGGTATTTTAAGGCATGTGATACTTGAGTAGAATCACGAAAGCAGATTAATGCTTAGCTTGGTGAGAGCATTTTTAATCAAAGGGAATTAGTCTATGCAAATGTACAGAGACATTTGAGAATGTGCCATTTTCAGGGAACTGCAAATAGCTTGACAGGGCAAGAAGACATCATGTCTGTAAAAGGGACAGCTGGGGTTGAGATTGGAGGGAAGGAAGGAGGGGTTGGGGGGAGAGAGACAATATATGACCATGAGAATCAGGAGTAAGAGGGATAATCAAGAGTGTGAAGAGCTTTATATGATATGGTACACTTCTTCTTAAAGGTAACGGGGAGGAGCTATTGGTAAATTTTAGAAGGGGAGTGCTGTCAACTTATGTTTGCAAAGATCACACAGTAATGTAGAGGATGAGATTGAGTGGGAAAATGCATTTGTAAGCAAGAAAACTAGTTAGGTTACTATAGTGACCACATAGAAACAGTCCATGTCCAAAGGTATTTTCTAAGGTATTGACCCTTAGAAAAAAAAAAGAGATTTGAGAAAAGTGACAAGATAGAGATTAACTGGACTTGGTGTTGAAAAAGCTGATGTTTGTGGGGAGCAGTAGTTTGAGTTCAGTTTGAGGTATTTTGATCCTTTTTTTTGGTGGTACTGGGGTTTGAATTCAGGGCCTCAAGCTTGGTAGGCAAGTGCTTTTAGGAGATACTTTGATTCGTGTGTGTGTGTGTGTGTGTGTGTGTTGCTGGGAATCAAACCAGGGCCTTGAGTGTGCTCAAGCCCTCTACTACTAAGCTCTCTCCTAGCTATTTGAATGTGAGTTGAAGATACTCATTTAGGCTTATATTTAGAAATGTCTTAGGTTGTTGAATATATGGATCTCAGATTGCTGGAGATAATAGATGTAGGCAGTCCAGGGATAACAGTAGAATGGGAAAGAGATGAAGCGAAGGGTGGAATTTTGTGATGTACCTGCAATGTAAGTATGAGGAGCATGGGAGAGACCAATCAAAGTACAGGTAGAAGGAACATAGAATAAAAGTTTCTTAGATTTTAAGAATAATGGAGCAATAAAAATATTGCTTACCATCTGAGGGATCAAATAAGATAGGGATGGAATAGTGTTAGGTCAATCAGTTAGGAATTTTAATTGTAAAAGTTAAGACCAGGGCTACTTGCAAATCATAGGGACTTTAAATTGTGCCTTTTCTTTGGGACCTTTCTACTCAAAGTGTGCTTGAGGTATGATTTTGGCACTGCCAGGATGCTTGCTAGAAATACACTCTTTTATCAGGTCTTCTGAATTAGAATCTGCATTTTAAAAGATCGTTAAGCTTCAAGAAGCACCACTTTAGAATTGTATTCTCTACCAGAAGGAAATAGACTGTAGGTTTGTTTTGTGCAAGAAAAATGATAGCTGCTGTTGCATTTATAAATTACTGTAAACTGGGATCCATGTATAGGTGTTTTTTTCCTTTTAACATTTCATAATACTCACCCAAGGAAATAAGCTCATGATATCTATTAAAAACACCAAGCTGATCCTTATTTTATAGTTAAATTAAGTTTAACTACTGTTTAATTACTTAGCAGTTGATATAGGCTAACTTTGTGAATTTGAATTTCTAATCTAGAAGAAGATGTGTTCACAACATAATTCTGTAAGATTATCTAGGTCTAAGTTTTTAATAGTTAATGGTTAAAAACCATTTTTGAACAAAAAGTTTTAAGTGTTTGTGGAATCTGTAAGTTAATGGAGAAAAATTGGTGCTCACGTGGAAATCTGTTTTTTCCTCAGAAATAAATCTCTCTCTGAGTTCAATTACATTAGGCTTATGTTGCAGTTATAGTATTGGCTACTTTTCTAGTGGTTTTTAAAGTTTTAATTGTTACAAACTGGCAATAAGTATGCATTCCTTGGCTCCCTCTACCTTATAAAAATCCTGTGGCTAGAGGCTTGGCTCAGGTGGTAGGGTACCTGTCTAGGAAG